TTCCCTGCACCCAGCTCCGCCTGCCCCCTCAGGCAGGCCCCCCCCTGCCCCCTCAGGACCCCCCCAGCCTTTGGGGCACCCTGAGGCGGGGGGGGGAAGGGGCATTTTTAAGGTATTTCTACTTGTAAATAAATTGTATTTTTCTCCTGCAGCGCTTGGGGGGGGCTCGGTTCCTGCCCGGGCCCTGCTTTGGGGTCCAGGGGGGCCTAGGGACCCCAAGGGGGGGTCTCCATCCTCCCCCAGTGCCACCACTCGCCCAGGGAGCAGCCCCAATCCACTTCCCTCTCTCCTTTATTCTTCTCCAGTTAAACCCCCCCAAGCCTTGGGGTGCTCCCCCCAGAGCAGCCTCCAGAGCACTGTATGGGGGTGCCGAGCTCCTTCCCTGCCCCACATCCTGCCCCGTGCTGCTCTCAGCACCCAGCAGCCCCAGCCCCCGGGTGCCCCCATCCTCACAGCCGCCCGTGGCTGGGTGCTGAGGCCACGCTGCCCCCCGGGCTGTGGCTCCCCGCAGGTGCTGGCGTGGTGCTGCAGCTCCGCTGCGCTGCAGGGCCGGGCACAGATGGGGCAGGGCACCCAGGGGGGCTCCAGGGGAGGGGGGCTCCATCAGCGTCCTCCCCACAGCCCGAGGCGTGCGTGGGGAGCAGCTCCAGGCTGAAGCGCGCTGTGGGCACAGGAGGGGACGGTGTTGGACCAGGGACCCCCAGTGGGGCCTGGGCTGTGCCTCCAGCCCCACGGCCGTGCTCCCACCACCATGGGCACGCAGACACTGCTGAGCCCCTACATGCCTCCCATTCCCTGCCCCACATCTCTGCTCATGCAGAGGCAGGCGCAGGCCTGAGGCCGCCCCTGCTGGGCACCCACCGGAGCAGATGGGGCAGATGCCCGTCTCCCTGTCCCCTTTGCTGTCCCCTCTCCTGCTGGGTCCTGCTCGCTGCCTGCGGGCTCGGGGCCGTGCTCCTGCCCTAGAGGGGCCTGGCAGGGACCTGCAGGAACAGGGGAAGCTCAGAGCTTGTTCCCCAGGTCCTGGGGAGCAGGGAACCAGCCCCAGCCAAGGCTGGGGTCCAGGACCAGGGTGAGGAGGTGGCTGGGAAGGACATGGAGCACGGAATGAGGGGGAGGATGAAGGGGTCACCTGCCGGGGGCTCCCTGCCCTGCTGTCCCGGGGGCCTCTCGTGGGGACTCCTTGTGCAGAGCCTGTGAATGGGATGGAGACGCGTTAATCCCATCCTGAATCCAATGGAGCCACATCTGGACCCCCACCAGTGGGGTTCATGGGCAGGAAGCCACCCATGGGATGTAACTGATGGTCCCTGATGGATCCCTGTGCTGGAGCATCCCCATGGAGCAGCACCGTGCTGGAGCCCCACACACGGACCCACAGGAGGCTTGGGGTAACCAGGGATGCACCAGCAGGAGGGTGAGGTGCCCAGAGCCAGACCGATGCACCCCTGTGGGCATGGGGAGCACCCGGCCCCCCCGTGGCCTTGTCCATGGGATCCCTCCAGCCGCAGGCAGAGCCCTCAGGGGACAGGATCCCTTTGGGAGGGTGAAGGGCAGGGATGGGATCGGGAGGGACCTGGCGAGGTGGGAACCTCCTGGAGCTCAGCCCCTGGCTGGGGCGCTCCCTGCGCTGCCCCCAGCTCACCGGGTGCTGGGCTTCCTCCTGCATCCCGATCCCGCGGCTCCGGGCCCCCTGCGCTGCCCCCAGCTCACCGGGTGCTGGGCTTCCTCCTGCATCCCGATCCCGCGGCTCCGGGCACCCCTGCGCTGCCCCCAGCTCACCGGGTGCTGGGCTTCCTCCTGCATCCCGATCCCGCGGCTCCGGGCCCCCCTGCTGCTGGCTCTGGACCTCAGCGCCCGGCTCCGCGCCGCCGACAGCAGCATCCGCGCGGGGCGGCTGAGGCAGGAGGGCTCCAGGTGGGGCCAGGAGCCTCTTCAGCCTCAGCTCCTCCTCCTCCTCCTCCCTGCGGCTCCTGGGCAGGAGGAGAGCAGGGGCTGGGAGGCAGCACCTCGGGGTGCGCAGGGAGAGGATGGGATGGACCCGACCAGGGAGATCCCCCGGTCCTTTCCCACCCAACCCTTTCCATGGCTGCACTTACGAGGGGGGTGCTGGAAGGGGGGCCCGGGACAAGGCGGGGCTGGAGCTCCAGGCGCTGTCCGTGGGCTTGGAGCCCTCCTGGGGGACGAGGGACTGATGCAGGGAGCGGGGACGGGGGCGGCAGCAGGGGAGCAGGAGCCCATCACCGCTGCCCCAGGGCAGGGCCGGGGCACCCACCGGGTGCTGAGGGTCCAGGGCCGTGCGCACGCGGATGAAGGAGAGCCCGAACTGGCTGTGCCGGCCGAAGGGCTGGCGGAGCGTGAGGCGCAGCCGGTCCCATGTCTGCCCCAGCGCCGGCTCCAGGAAGTCGGCTGCAGGGGTGGGATGGGATGGGGGAATGGAACGGGATGGGATGGGATGGGGGAACGGGATGGGATGGGATGGGGGAACGGGATGGGATGGGATGGGGCGATGGGATGGGATGGGGCGATGGGATGGGGGAACGGGATGGGATGGGGGAACAGGATGGGATTGGATGGGAGGGGGGAATGGGATGGGGAAACGGGATGGGGGAATGGGATGGGATGGGGGAATGGGATTGGGGAAAAGGATGGGATGGGACAGGGGAGTGGGATGGGATGGGGGAACGGGACGGGATGGGGGAACAGGATAGGATGAGATGGGGGGATGGAATGGGACAGGATGGGGGAATAGGACAGGAGGGAATGGGGGAAGGGGATGGGATGAGGAAATGGAATGGGACAGGAGGGGATGGGGAAATGGACAGGGATGGGGGAATGGGATGGGATAGGGGAATGGGACGGGATGGGGATATGGGAATGGGAAAGGAGGGGATGGGGGAATGGGATGGGACGGGGATATGGAATGGGAAAGGAGGGCATGGGGGAATGGGATGGGGGGATGGGGGAATGGGACACCCCGTGTCACCAATCCCCATCCAGTACCCGGTGACACCGGGCAGGTTCCAGCCCCAGGAGGCTGGGGCAGAGCTGGCACAGCCCCCGTGCGGCGGCGCAGCCACGATCTCTGTTCCCATCCCCTCTGCTCTGCCCCACGGATCGGGCGTTACCTTCCTTGAACATCCGCACCCCGCAGCGGTTCTGCTCCAGCCTGGCCTCGGCCTCGCTCCTCAGCGCCGCGCTGGGCACCAGGGCCAGGTAGGGCCGGTCCCGCGGCCACCACGAGCGCCCCACGTCGAGCTGCAGGAAGGCGCAGCCGCAGTTCCTGCGATGACACCGGCATGGAGGCAGGGCCCGAGCCCCGGCCCCGGCCCCGCGGCCCCGGGAACGCACCGACATCCACGAAGCCGATGGCAACGGCGCGCTCCAGCTGCAGCTCCGCGCGCAGCTGCCGGCTGCGGTCCTGCGGGCTGCACAGCCAGGGCCGGCGGGCGTCCGCGCGGAGCAGGTTCTGCACCGGGAACCGGGGGTCCTGCGGGGGGACAGAGCTCAGGTCCCAACGGGAGGCAACGGGGAGGAGGAATCGGGTGTGAATCCCTGCCCCGCTGTGATCCCTGCCCTGATCCCTGATCCCTGCTGTGATCCCCGCTGTGATCCCCGCTGTGATCCCTGCCCCACTGTGATCCCTGATCCCTGCTGTGATCCCTGATCCCTGCTGTGATCCCTGCCCTGATCCCTGCTGTGATCCCTGCCCTGCTGTGATCCCTGCCCTGATCCCCGCTGTGATCCCTGCTGGGATCCCTGCTGTGATCCCTGCCCTGATCCCTGCCCCGCTGTGATCCCCGCTGTGATCCCTGCCCTGCTGTGATCCCTGCCCTGATCCCTCCTGTGATCCCTGCTGTGATCCCTGCCCTGCTGTGATCCCTGCCCTGCTGTGATCCCTGATCCCTGCTGTGATCCCTGCCCCGCTGTGATCCCTGCTGTGATCCCCGCTGTGATCCCTGCCCTGATCCCTGCCCCGCTGTGATCCCTGCTGTGATCCCCGCTGTGATCCCTGCCCTGATCCCTGCCCCGCTGTGATCCCTGCTGTGATCCCTGCTGTGATCCCTGCCCTGATCCCCGCTGTGATCCCTGCCCTGATCCCGCCTGTGATCCCTGCCGTGATCCCTGCCCTGATCCCTGCTGTGATCCCTGCCCTGATCCCCGCTGTGATCCCTGCCGTGATCCCTGCCCTGATCCCTGCTGTGATCCCTGCCCTGATCCCCGCTGTGATCCCTGCCCTGCTGTGATCCCTGCTGTGATCCCTGCCATGCAGAACCATGGAATGGTTTGGGATGAAGGGACCTTAAAGCCCCTCCAGCTCCACCCCCTGCCAGGGGCAGGGACCCCTTCCATAGGGCAGCTTGCTCCAAGCCCCCGTGTCCAAGCTGGCCTGGAGCACTCTGGGATGGGATGAGCCCAGCACACGCTGTGGATCATGGGGAGCTCCTTGCTGCTGCTCCCACCGTTCCATGTGGAATTCCCAGCACATCCCACACCAGATCCCTCCACCTTCAGGACCCCCCAGCAGCAGCTCAGGGCAATTGAGGCCTTTCCCAGCCTCCCCCCATAGGAAACCCCTGGGACCTGTGAGGAGAAGGACACCACGGAGCTGATTTTGACTGGAGCCATCCGGGATCTCCTGGAGCTTCCTTCCCTCCGGAGCCTGGGGGATCAGGGCAGGGGCTGTGGAGGTACCCAGCATTCCAATGGGAACAGAGGCACCCAGCATTCCCAATGGGAACAGAGATACCCAGCATTCCCATTGGGAACAGAGGTACCCAGCATTCCCAATGGGAACAGAGGTACCCAGCACAGAGGTACCCAGCATTCCCAATGGGAACAGAGGCACCCAGCATTCCCAATGGGAACAGAGGTACCCAGCACAGAGGTACCCAGCATTCCCAATGGGAACAGAGGTACTCAGCACAGAGATACCCAGCATTCCCACTGGGAACAGAGGTACTCAGCACAGAGGTACCCAGCATTCCCATTGGGAACAGAGGTACTCAGCACAGAGATACCCAGCATTCCCATTGGGAACAGAGGTACCCAGCACAGAGGTACCCAGCATTCCCACTGGGAACAGAGGTACTCAGCACAGAGGTACCCAGCATTCCATTGGGAACAGAGGTACCCAGCACAGAGATACCCAGCATTCCCATTGGGAACAGAGGTACTCAGCACAGAGGTACCCAGCATTCCCAATGGGAACAGAGGTACCCAGCACAGAGGTACCCAGCATTCCCATTGGGAACAGAGGTACTCAGCACAGAGGTACCCAGCATTCCCAATGGGAACAGAGGTACCCAGCACAGAGGTACCCAGCATTCCCAATGGGAACAGAGGTACTCAGCACAGAGGTACCCAGCATTCCCATTGGGAACAGAGGTACCCAGCACAGAGGTACCCAGCATTCCCACTGGGAACAGAGGTACCCAGCACAGAGGTACCCAGCATTCCCAATGGGAACAGAGGTACCCAGCACAGAGGTACCCAGCATTCCCAATGGGAACAGAGGTACCCAGCACAGAGGTACCCAGCATTCCCAATGGGAACAGCAGGGGTCCTGCCCCCCAGGGATCCCACTGGGGCTCCCCATAGCCCCAGCCCCATCCCACTGCCCCCAGCTCCCCTCGCCTCCCCCCGCATCCATTCCCCACCCCATCAACCCCAGCCCTGCCCCACGGCCCCCCCTTTACCCCCTTAGTGCCCCCCTGCCCGCAGTGCCCCCATTCAGCCCCATGCACCCCCAGCCCTGCCCCACAGATCCCCGCTCCCCTCCGTGCCCCACAGCCCCCCCCCCCACTCCCGCCACCGCTTGAATCTCCCGCGCAAACCGCGTCACCCGCGGCGGTTCCCGCTGCGCACCGCGAGCTCCGGTCCTGATCCCGGTCCCGATCCCGGTCCTGATCCCGGTTCTTGTCCCGTCCCAATCCCCGATCCTGATCCCAATCCCCGGTCCCGGTTCCCGCCTCAGCCGGTGCCGGCCCTCCGCCGCGGTGCATGACGGGACACGTAGTCCTCCAGCCTGGCCCCGCTAAGGGACCGTCCCCCGTGTGCGCTGCCCTCGGCCCGCGCGGCCCGGAGCGGCACCGGGCGGCGCACGGGATGGGAGCGGGGCCGAGGCGCGCCCCGGGGCCGCTGACACCGGCGGGGGGGGGGGGGGGGGGGGGGTTGGGGGGCGGTGCCACCGGGACCGCGGCCGGGCCCCCGCGTCCCGCTCCGGGCCTGGAAATGCGCGACGGTCCCTTGCCGTGACAGCTCTGCCACCGCCGGCCGCTGTCCCGCCTCTCCTCCTTTCTGATTGTCTGTGGCCCACGGCCGCGCACAGCGATTGGCCCGCGCTGCGGCGGCGTGGCCGGTGATTGGCGGATGGTGGCGGAAGGAGTTGGCCGCCGGGGACGGAGGGGGGGCAAGATGGCGGCGGTGCTGGAGGTGGAGGTTGGAGGCCCCGCGGAGCGCGATGTGGAGGAGGTGGAGCGGGGGCCGGGAGCGGAGCGGGGCCGGGAGCGGAGCGGGGACAGGGGGGCGGGGGGAAGCGGGTGTGGGGAGCGGGAGCGAGGGGTTCCGGGGGCAGGGGGACACTGGGGCAGGGTGGGACTGGGGGCACTGAGGGGCTTCGGGGTAGGGGGACAACGGGGTGCTCTGTGGGGCAGGGGGACACGGGGGGGCTGGGTTAAGGGGTGCTCTGTGGGGCAGGGGGACACGGGGGGGGCTGGGTTAGGGGGTGCTCTGTGGGGCAGGGGACACGTGGCGGGCTGGGTTAGGGGGTGCTCTGTGGGGCAGGGGGACACGGGGGGGCTGGGTTAGGGGGTGCTCTGTGGGGCAGGGGGACACGGGGGGGGCTGGGTTAGGGGGTGCTCTGTGGGGCAGGGGGACACGGGGGGGCTGGGTTAGGGGGTGCTCTGTGGGGCAGGGGGGACACGGGGGGGGCTGGGTTAAGGGGGTGCTCTGTGGGGCAGGGGGACACGGGGGGGGCTGGGTTAAGGGGTGCTCTGTGGGGCAGGGGGACACGGGGGGGGGCTGGGTTAGGGGGTGCTCTGTGGGGCAGGGGGACACGGGGGGAGCTGGGTTAGGGGGTGCTCTGTGGGGCAGGGGGACACGGGGGGGGCTGGGTTAAGGGGTGCTCTGTGGGGCAGGGGGGACACGTGGCAGGCTGGGTTAGGGGGTGCTCTGTGGGGCAGAGGGACACGGGGGGGGCTGGGTTAAGGGGTGCTCTGTGGGGCAGGGGGACCCGTGGCAGGCTGGGTTAGGGGGTGCTCTGTGGGGCAGGGGGACACGGGGGGAGGCTGGGTTAGGGGGTGCTCTGTGGGGCAGGGGGACACGGGGGGGGCTGGGTTAAGGGGGTGCTCTGTGGGGCAGGGGGACACGGGGGGGGGCTGGGTTAGGGGGTGCTCTGTGGGGCAGGGGGACACGGGGGGGGGCTGGGTTAGGGGGTGCCCTGTGGGGCAGGGGGAGACGGGGGGGGGCTGGGTTAGGGGGTGCCTGTGGGGCAGGGGGACACGGGGGGGGCTGGGTTAAGGGGTGCTCTGTGGGCAGGGGGACACGGGGGGGGCTGGGTTAAGGGGTGCTCTGTGGGGCAGGGGGACACGGGGGGGCTGGGTTAAGGGGTGCTCTGTGGGGCAGGGGGACACGGGGGGGGCTGGGTTAGGGGGCGCAACTGAAGCTGTGCAGTGAAGGCTGCAGCTGGAATTCCCATTGGGAATGCTGGAGCATCCTCCCTGCGGGAGGGGAGCCTCGGCCCCAGCCCCAGTGCCTGAGCCTGCTGCCTGTGGTGCTGGGAGGGGGGGCCCAGCCGGGCTGTCTGGAATTCCAATGGGATTGTGTGGGACCGGGGCTGCGGGGAGCTGCTCCTCCTGTCAGCCTCTGACCCCCAGAGCAAGGCAAGCAGCGTGTGGGGCGCTTGCGAGCCCCACATCCCAGGGCCCGCGGCAGGGAAGGTCCGGAGCCTGTGAGCCCTGGACGTGGAATTCCTGGTGTTCAGGAGCCAGCCCCTGGGCTGAACGGGGAGGTGACACCCATGGGGCTGGGACCCCCCGGAACCCGCCCCCATGGGGGCACACATCCGTATCGAGCTCCATCCCGGGCTCGGGATGGGGTTGGATCCGCTGGGATCTCCCTGCTCCCGCTGCCTGTGGCCCCCTTGGTTCCTGAGCAGAGGAGCCGAGGGTCCAACCCCCCCTGAGACCCCTGCACAACGCGCTCAGGGTGAGGGGGCCCCTCTGGGTGCCGCTGGGCTGGGGGGCAGAGCGGCCACGGCGCTGGGTGGGATCCGAATGGGGCCGAGCTTCGGTGTCACCGCTGGAGCAGAGCTGGGGTCGGTGGCGTGGGGCAGAGGGGGCTATGGGAGGGTCAGGTCCTGCCTGCGGGGCACCGGGGCGCTGGTCTCATCCCGATGCTCCCTGTAATGAAGTTATTGTGGGAGCTGGAGGCTCAGTGCTGGGATCGAGGGGGCGATTGGGTCTGGAGCTGGGAATTAGATCCTGCAATGGCTTGGGATGAAGGGACCCTACAGCCCATCCAGCTCCAGCCCCTGCCCCGGGCAGGGACCCCTTCCATAGAGCAGCTTGCTCCAAGCCCTGTGTCCAACCTGGCCTTGAGCACTGCCAGGGATGGGGCAGCCACAGCTTCTCTGGGCACCCTGTGCCAGCGCCTCAGCACCCTCCCAGGGAAGAGCTTCTGCCTGAGAGCTCAGCTCAGTCTCCCCTCGGGCAGGTTAAAGCCATTCCCCTTGGCCTGTCCCTACATCCCTTGTCCCAAGCCCCTCTCCAGGTTTCCTGCAGCCCCTTCAGGCACTGGAGCTGCTCTCAGGTCTCCCCTTCAGGAGCCTTCTCTTCTCCAGGCTGCCCCAGCCCAGCTCTCTCAGCCTGGCTCCAGGGCAGAGCTGCTCCAGCCCTCGCAGCAGCTCCACTCCTGCCCCTTCCAGGGCAGCTCCAGCAGGGAGCTGGCATCGCTCTGAGCCCTGAGGTGCTCCTCGGGACCCCATCTCCCCATGCCCGGTGTGGGAGCAGCTCGCAGCCGCTCTGCCTCCTCCTGCCCTCCCCTGGGCTCTCATTAAGCGGCCGCAGAGGAAGCGCAGCAGCTTGGTGCACCCATGGGAGCAGCCCTGCAGTCCCTGCCACGTGTCCCACGAGCACCCTGAGCCCGGCTGAGGTGGAGCCGGTTCCTGTGCACCCATCTCCTGTGGCCGCCCTGCCTGGAGCCGGGGCCCGGGGCTGAGCTGTGCCCGCAGCTCCAGGGCATCCCTGGGGTCCTTGCGGGCTGGAGGGGAACCAGAGCCCGGCCCCACAGCCCTCATGGAGAGTTCCCATAGGGATCTGGGGTCCTTGTGTCCGTACCAACCCCTGCAACTGCCTGCCAGGAGGATGGAGCCAGGACGGGCTGGGCTCTGCTCCCAAGGAACAAGGGATGGGACAAGAGGAACCGGCCTCAAGCTGCACCAGGGCAGGTTTAGATGGAGCTGAGGAACAATTCCTGCCCCAGAGGGTGCTCAGGCATTGGAACAGGCTGCCCAGGGCAGGGCTGCAGGCACCTCACACCCCATGGAGACGAGGCCTCAGTGCCATGGGGCAGTGGTGGCCGCGGGGCGATGGTTGCACTGGATGCTCCTGGAGCTCTTTCCCAGCTGGTTCCATGTTTGTCCCTCTGGGACCGGTTCCCTCTGCCTGCTTTGCTGCCCTGTGTGTCCGTGGGGGTGTCCCCATTGCCCGAGGCCTCCTCAGCTCCTTGGCAGAGCTGCAGCTCCAGGAGGGACTGAAAGGTGATCCCAGGGCTGTGCTGGTCCAAAGGGCAGCCCCGTGATCCCTCATAACAGCGGCTCCTGTGGGAAGAGCTTTGGGAAGCCTGGGGGAGCCTTCAGCCGTGTCAGCGCTTCCCAAATCCTCCTTTTCCCCTCCGAACCGGGGTGGTTTGGCAATGGTTCGTCGCTGGCTGCGGGTGCTGTTCCCTGTCCTGGGCCACGCTGGGGTCTGGGGCTCTGTTCTGGCCGTGCGTTGGGATTGCCTCCCCAGGGGTGCCTGGCTGGGATGCGGATGTGGGGAGTGAACCCATTCCTTGGGAATGGGATGGCTGGGACAGCCTTGGCTGCAGGGAGTTCAAGGAGATGGAGCTGATGGAGGAACAGGAGGGCGCGGAGGAGCGGGGTGCTCCGAGCTCGCCCCGTGCTGCCGGCAGGGCCCGGGGGCAGCTCTGGGCTGCAGCCTCACGGCGGGTTCGTCATTTAAACCTCCGAGTTCCCCAGGAGCAGCTCCGGGGTGTCCAGGGGAGCTGTGGCAGGAGATGGGGGTGCTCTGCTGATGTTCCTCCTGCAGGGCAGCCTTGTGCTGGCCATTACCCGGGCGGCCGGGCCGGGGCGGTGCGTGCTCACGCCTCTGTCCCCCCGCAGGTGGATCTGTCCCACCTGTCCCCGGAGGAGCGGTGGAGGTGAGTCTGTGCCGTGCATGGAGCCGTGCATGGAGCCGTGCATGGAGCCGTGCCGCAGTGCTCCTGCTCCCGCTCCTGCTCCTGCTCCTGCTGCTGCTCCTGCTCTGCTCCTGCTCCTGCTCCTGCTCCTGCT